AAAGGCGTGAGCCACCACGCCCAGCGAAGTCCTCTCAGTGACATTCACTCTCCTAGGCTAGCATACCCCAGAGAGGTGGAGCGCCCTCTGTAGTTCTGGGAAAGCTCGGTCAGTAAGAACAGCCTTGCTCATGGGGCCCGTGGTAGCCTCCTGTGACCGTCCCATGTTCCTGGCTCTAGGGGGCTCCTCCTTTCTGCACCCAGTCTTTGGGTAGGCAGTGCTGGGAGAAGCAGCTAGGAACCCAGTGAGTGTGGTCAGTTCAGAGCCTACCATCCCTCCCTGGGCCAGACGGGACACTTAGTCCAGCCTGTACTCACTGCTGCTAGAATCACAAACCCAAAGCCAGGCTGTCTCCAGGCTGCTGCTGCTGGCACCCCTCTCAGGGCTCCCATCTGCCTCCTCCTTTGGGCCTGGCTGCCCTTAGTCTGGCCACATCAGCCTCTACTAGGCCCAGGAGTTAGCCTGGCCCCAACCTGACCAGTCTGATGGCCACCCGTAACATCTCCACAACCACGCCTTTGGTCAGCACGGTGCCCTGCTTGCCATCTGGGCATCTACAGCCTTTCAAACCAGATGGACTGTCCTCTTCTTAGATTCCTTCCAAGCCCTTCTTCCACAATGGGCTTCTTTAGGCTCAGGGAGACCGGTGTCTTCACAGGACAGAGGGATCCCCAGGGACAGGCCCCAGGCCCTGGGCAGGCTCAAGGGGTGTCTCTGATGGAGGGCATGGTCTACAGCCACAGCCTCAAGGGCACAGAACACAAGCTGCCAGAGCAGGGCTAATGTCAGCTCAGTTCCCGTGGGCTCTGCTTCTCCTGGCCCTGGCCTGGCTGCCTGCTCCGGACAGCTGCCCCAAACACTCAGCCCCAGTCCTACAACTGGTGTGGTCAGGCCAGGGTGCAAGCCCTCCTCGGGCTCTCAGCCTCCCCTTTCCTCCACCTCCTGCCTTCCCCTCTGCAACAGTGGGAAGGGGTGGGGGAGGATAAGCCCCTCTCAGGTTATGGAGGAACGCAGGCCTGCCTTTCCCCAGGAACAGCCACCGTGGCCACAAGTTCAGGGCAGAGAGTCTGAGACAGATAGAGCCTTTCTGATGTGGTCTGGTTGTGTCCCCACCCAAATCTCATCTTGAAGTCTCACATGTTGTGAGAGAGCAGGTGGGAGGTAATTGGATCATGGGGCCCATCTTTCCCATGCAGTTCTCATGATAGTGAGTCGCACGAGAGCTGGTGGTTATTCCAAGGGGGAGTTTATCTGCTCAAGCTGTCTTGTCTTGTCTGCTGCCATGTGAGATGTGCCTTTCATCTTCTGCCATAATTGTGAGGCCACCCCAGCCACATGAAACTGTAAGTCCAATAAACCTTTCTTTTGTAACTGCCCAGTCTGGGGTATGTGTTTATCAGCAGCGGGAAAAAGGACTAATACACCTTCCCTCCTGGAGTTGGCCTGGAGGAGCCGGGAATCAGGAAGGGGCATCACAGTGCTGGCAACGACCACCACCTTATTTATTTATCTATTTTTTGAGACAGGTCTTGCTGTGTCACGCAGGTAGAGTGCAGTGGCACCATCGTGGCTTGACCTCCGGGCTCAATTGATTCTCCCACATCAGCCTTCTGAGTAGCTGGGACTGCAGGTACACACCACTATGTCCAGCTAATTTTCTCTGTTTTTTTTTAAGCAAATTTTTGTATTTTTTTGCAGAGACAGTGTTTCGCCATATTGCCCAGGCTGGTCTCGAACTCCTGGGCTTAAACAATCCACCCACTGTGTCCTCCTAAAGTGCTAGGATTACAGGTGTGAGCCACTGTACCCAGCCTATTTATTGTTTTCTTTCTTTTTTTTTTTTTTTTTTTTTT